TCTACATTGATGCTGTATTTTATGCCTCCATTAAAATCACATGACCTATATAGGGCTAATTTACTAGGGCTACCACCTCCCCCCCCCCAAAAAATCACCTGATCTCTCTCTCTCTCTACACCAGCCCCCCCCCCTCCCCCCAATTAAATCATATTACCTAGAGGAGTAATTTGTTTGCTAACTAATTTGTTTGCTAACAATATTATCTGATAATTCCAGTCCCCCTATATAAAAGCTGCCATCTTCTTCATCTATCTTCTTCATCCATCTCCTTCTATCTTCTTCATCTACCACCCTGCCTACCGCTATACCTACCCTCCTGCCTACCGAGCTGCCTACCACCCTACCTACCGAGCCGCCTACCCCCGGTCAAATACTCCCCCCGCTGAGGGATTTGCGAGAATTCGAGACAATTGCTGAGGCCTAGGACTGGATACGCGATTGGGCTACAGTATAGGGGTATACGGTCTCAAAAAAGCGCTCGTTTACTACCTATAGTAGTAGACTGCGACATCGCCCGTCCATGGGCACCTAGGAGGTACCCAAGGCCCGTCCACAGTGGGCCTTGGGCTGTTTGGATTTTCGAGTGCCCGTCTATAACGCCCAAGGCCCACGGGTATACCCACAATACCCACTATTGTATAAAGTCACCCAAAATAGACGTATAACTCGCTGACTTTGTATAATAAATAACTGTTATTTACACCTGTTTTGCTAACTCTATATAAAATAGCAGTTTTAATCTACAATATCTATAAATTTTACTGAAATATCTATATATATAAGAAACTAGTATATATCTAATACGACTTAGAATAAAATTTTAATCGAAATATATTATATTGTGTGGTATTTTTATTAACTTATCAAATTATACTGTAACAGCTTGAAGATATATATTCAAGTCAGTGGTCTATATCTGGTATTTTCTATAAGTGAAATACTATTTATAGATTCTACTTTATCTCTCACTCTGGTATATTTCTTATAGGTAGATCGAAAGATAATTAGTATAATTCTTATTTTATAAGCTTATATCACTAAATTCTGTCAATTATATCACTTAAAGACTTATATTATTATTCTAGGAGTTTTAAATCCTTCGATTATAACTTAAGATAGGCGTTTAGGTATATTCCTATAGGTGTACCTACGGGTATACCTATAGATAAAGATACTTATAGCCAATCAGCTTATAATATATAGTGGGTCTACACTTAATTTACGATCTATTAGATCTATATAAAGCACCCCTTTTACTAGTAATCCTTATTTTATACAGTCGTAAGTTACCTATTGTAAGTTTAGATCACTCACTCTCCTATAGTCGTTATATTATCCCTTATATTATATTAACTATATCCTAACCTAGTGCCTATACCGTAGGGCCTTCTTTACTTCCTCCGAGCTACTAACTAGACCTCTCCTATATCGCCGATATATTTAATCCTAACCTTAATCTAAATATTAATCCTAGTCTCTTTAATAGCTAATAGACTTCTATCTTACTAATAGAGTCCGAGTTTACTTAACCGGCTATTCTTAATTACTCTCTTAAACGTATCGGCCCTAATCGGAGAAAGTAGTTTATCCTCTATAACGCGGTAAATAACGCGTCTAAAGTAAAGTTTATCGAGTAGTAGTATACTACAGTACGCGGCAGCAGTACTAAGATATAACAAAGGCTACGGTAGGATATAAAATATATATTAGATATCTAGGAGAACTTCGACTAGGTAGTATATTATATTATAGGCGAACCTTTGGTTATATATCGGACGTATAGGGTTATATTACCTTATCTAAGTATAAAGCAAAGCGGTACCAATACACTTAAGCGGTATCTAGCCTTAGGTAAATACTAAAAGGGTAGTAAAAGTAAGTCTATATAATAGTCGATTAAGGAGACTATACAGTATATACCGGTAAGTCTTATATAATTATACCCTTTAAGATAGCTAATATATTATATATTAGGTACTGGAGTTATCTTATAACTTAAAATTCTCGAATAATAAATAGGAAAGAGAGTAGATTAAATATCTTACTAGTCTAAACCTCCCTTTCCGGATACTTAAGAGGAAGTAATTTACTTCCTTAATTTAAATAGTATAAAAGGCTCTAGCTAAACCTAGTTTACTTTATCCTCGCACTACTTAATACCGGCTTAAGAAATTAGTCGATAAGGAGTAATATATAATTCTCGCTACCTTACTATAAGATACGAAGCTCTTAATCGCCCTCGACTGCTAGATATCGCCTTTTCAGTAGGTATTTATAGCAATTATAGGGTACTTTATCGACCGAGACTAGAATTACTATAAGCTCCTACTTAGTTTCGAACCACTTAATAGGGTATATTCTAGTGTAAATCTAAGTGAAGTGCTTATAGAGATCTTTAAGAAGCTTAATATTACTAATCGTATATTAGCGATTATATTAGATAACGCGTTAAATAATATAACTTTAGTATAGGTAGTTTAAGACTCTATTAACTCCCTTAAACTACCGAATAGCCCGGTAGTTATTCGAATCCCTTATCTTATATATATTATCTAGCTAAGCCTTTGTAAGCTACTTAGATCGGTGAAGGCCGATCCCTAGAATAATACTATAAATCGGAATATTTCTAATATCTAAGCCTAAGCCTAAGCTCGATCGCTCTGTACTTTACAGAGTGAATAAGTTATTGTATAAACCCTTATTAAGGTAAATATATCACTTTATTTATCACTTAATATATCTAATAACTATCTAGATTCGAGGGCTTACTGTATTTATTAATATAAGCCCCTAACGTCGCGATAATTTCTTTTATCTCTAGAATAATAGAGTAAAACTTATACCTATCTAAGATATCTGTACCCGCTGGAATTCTACCTTCTTAATACTTTGTTATACGAAACGCCTTAGTAAGCCCTACAATAAATACTGTGATAATATTGGGACTTAGAGATATAAACTGAGTAAAGTAGAATAGCGGTAGGTCGACTATATTCTATATATTATAGAGCCGTTCTATCGCTTTACTACAGTACTTTTAAAGACTAAAGAGATAACAGTATATTATATTTTTAGTATTTATAACACCCTCTTTAAGTACTTCGAGGAATTAATTGTATAACTTACCCCGAGAACTATACCTTAGAAGAAGGCGATACTATAAGCCCTTAATACTAGGATAGTAAAGCTTACCTCTTACTATATAAAGACGAAAGAGATCTATAGTAGTCTCTATATAATTAGAACAATTCTTATACCCTAGTATAAGCTTTACTTCTTCTTAAGTAAGGCGTAGGGTATATCGGAGAATAATATAAACTGGAGTAATTAGTATAAGGAAACGCTTCGCTAGTTTATAGCTCTTTACGCCTAAAGATACACTTAGATATAGTCCCTATAAGAAGAGTAACCCCCTAAGTATCACTCAGCCAGTATAAGTAACCTAGATACCCTCCTTAACCTTCTACCTTATATCCACTTTAATCTATTAACGTCGGAGTATAAACTTACTAGATACCTTAAAAAGTGTACGTTATATTCACTATTATTATAAGCGGGAATACTAATACCTATAATAGCAAGGAGAAAGGTCGATCCTTTATAATTCTAGAAGGAATATAAGAATAAATTCCTAATTCTTTTAAGTGTTACTCGCGATATTCTCTCTATTCCTATAATAGACGCTGGAGTTAAATATCTTTTTAATTTAGTATAGGATATCTACTACTACCGATATAGGCGGCTAAGTATAAAGACAGTCTAGGATATTATAATATTCCGGTGTAAAACCTAGTTCGATATTAAAATAGAAGAACTACCCAATAAGGATATATCCTTAGATTTAATATAAGAAGCAGATAAACAGAGAGAGGCTTAGCTTACTACTAGTATAACTAAACCAATTAGCGATAGTGAGGATTCCGAGGATAATAATCCTATTAGACCAATCGAGTGTAAGTTTATAATAGAGAGTTAGCTTCCTTATCCTTTTATAGTGCTAAGTATACGGAAGCGATAGAGAAGTAAGCTAGTCAACAGCGAAGATAAGAGTAGTCCTTATCTCCCTTATTATAGAGATAAGGGTAGCACTTAAAAGCGCCCTGGTTTAAGAGAAGTAAGGAAGTATAGTAAACCTAATAATAATCAATTTATATCGTATTAGTGTGAATATATAAATATAATAAATACCTAAGCTGTTATATAAAGGCTTCTAAGGCTTATTTCTAACCCCGGTCCAAAAAGTGAAAATATATTAAGTTATTGTATAAAGGCTTCTAAAGCTTATTTCTGACCTCGGTTAGAAAATTGACTATAGTATTGAGTTATTGTATAAAGGCTTCCACAGTTTATTTTTCTAAGCGAGGTCAGAAAATTGACAGTAGTATTAAGTTATTGTATATATAATCGAATTACTCAAAAATACAGAGAAAAAATGCACAAATAATATAGGTCACGAGGTCAAGAAATTCTGCTTACTAAAAAGGCCTATAGGCGCCCACGGTGTCTATAGACAATAGGCCCTAAGGGTAGGGCCCGTCTATAGGCGTATAGATAGTTGATACGATACAAGTAGATCTTTTAGAGAAAACTGTATGTATTGAAGCGGACAAAGAGGAGAGAAGAGAGGGAGAGAGAGAGGAGAAACTATCTGTGGGTTCTATCTTATATGTGATACCTGAGGCATCCAATATCCCCCTCATAGAATCCTGCCAGCACTCTCTATCAAGGTTAGACCTTGCCAACTCCCATGGGACTAAGAAAATTTTGGTCCCATATCCTGGTCCCATGGGAGTAAAATCACTCCCATGGGACTAGGCTAAGCCTATTTAGGGAATTATATTACCTAAATAGGCAGTGATAGTCGGGCTTGGCATTAATTTTGACCGCCAAGACTTTCTCATGGGAGTGGGTCCATGGGAGTTGGCAAGGTCTAATCAAGGTCTCCAATTCTAACACACATAGTAAAACTCTGTAAATCATACACCACAATTATACATTTAAATCATACCAATCAAGACAACAAATATCTCAAATTGCTCCCTCGGCAGTGCCTTTGTGAATCTATCTGCTGCATTTCTTTTCGTGTCCACACGTCGTATATCTATATATCCTTGTGCAACGGTATCCTTAACGAAAAACCATTGTAGATCAAGCTATCTGTTCGCGGATTTACCTCCTTTCTTAGTGAGTAGGAGTTGCGAATTGATATTATCCGTATAGATTTCAATAGGACGTTGTTCTGGTAGTATAAACGAGTGAGCCACTTTACTCAACTATATCGTATCTCGAGTAGGTTGATCTAGAGCACACCACTCAGCGACAGTTGTCGAATTGGCCGTAATTGTCTGCTTCCTCGTAAACTATATAACAGGTGATCCAGCGAGGTACTATATACTTCCCTCAGTCGATTTGCTGTCCTCCCAGTCCGTATACGATATATCTATATATATATAAAACCGGAGTTCTTAAGTGCGACCGAGCGTGATACCAATATTAGGCTTATATCTTAGGTATTTAACAACGTATTGTATAGCTTAAAGGTCCTTAAACGTAGGTTTCGCTAAACGATATTGTAGATAAGTAACTGTAAAGTAAATATCCGGTCTGGTTTTGACTGCGAGCCAGTTTAATATACTAACAACAGATTAATATTGATCGAATATATTATCGTCCAGTACATTAGATATATTGATAGGTGACTCCCTCTATACTGCTGGCAATAGAGTATCTTTCCAGCTAGATACTGCACTTATAGTCCGTAGGACTTTTTGTATATATACCTTCTGTGATATAGTGATTGTACGCTTATCGTAGTCCCTGTGTAGCGCACAGTTCAAATACTGCTTCGGTTCACCGAGGTCTTTTATATCGTAGAACTATCGTAGTTTATTGATAATATCCTCGATATCTTTGTCTGTGGGTGCTGCAATAATAAAATCATCGATATATATTATTATAATCGTTAAATTCATACCTTTTCCTTTGATATAAACATAAGGGTTATTATCCAATAGATAAAAGCCAATCTGGTGTAGCCTGCAGTCTATCTCTTCATTCTATAGAAAAGCCGAGTTATATAGCCCGAAGAGTGCTTGATTGATTGTATATACCCACTAGTTCTTATCACCTTACGTATCTGTATACTCGAAGCTAGTCGGTTATCTTATATAGACTGTCTCTATATCTTCACGTGAGGTATTGAGATATATAGCCGTAAAGTCAACTTATCTCTATCTTAGACCGTACACCGCAATCAGCGTAAAGACAATCTTAATTATACATTCAGCGACAACCGGAGTATATATTTCTCCGTTATTCTTATCCTGAAAGTTTCCGTATATAACCTATCGTACCTTGAATTTATAGACTTTATCTCTGGTGTTAGACTTAACAGTAAGCCTCTATTGTCCTGGCAGTATCTTTACCTTTGGTGGCTTAGGAATTAGACTCTATATATTCTTAGCTATTAAATTATCTAGTTGTTTTTGTATAGCTTCTATCTATTGAGGCCAGAAAGGGCTTTTCTATACTTATTTGAATATAGATAGTAAGTCAACGTCCTTTGTATATAATAGCTTTTCGTTGTAGAGAAACGGTTCGTCAATATTAACCTTTGTTATCGATATATCACTCGTTGTAGATATCGCACTAGGTCCCGTAGACCCCTATCTAACACCCTCCTCTAGATTATTACCGCCTAAATCCTTCGCCTTTACCCTTATAGCTGCGCGTTGAATATCTCGGTCTTATTTCTTGTACTCGACTGCGAGGTGTTTTTGTTTTGGGTTGTGGTATCTTTCGGGTAGAATCCCGATATTCGCGCGTCTCGATCGTCGTAGTAGCGGTGCAGACGGCTCTGTTACGTCTTAACTAATAGGATCTAGTGACGATTCGATTAAGATAATCTCTCGACTAGGTAACACCCCGGATCTTATTGTAACCGATATATTTTTAGAGTTTGGTTTAGCAGTCTATATATTCTTACGACTTAGTGACACACTGACCTATCTGACTGAGATATCCTGTGTAATCTTACGACTAGGTAATATACTGGCTCGTTGCACTAGAGATAAGAATAGGTATTCGTAGAGTGTTCTCTGTCTCTCTAAAGAATTAACCGTTTTATCTGATTCTCTAGCAATATTCGACTCGATACTGTCTGTATCTCGTCGAATATTATTTATACTCTCTGATAGCTGAGATACCTAGCTTATTAACTGTTAAAGTCTCCTTCTAAGATCTTCTCTCCTCCGAGCTATATCCTCTAAAGCTTATAAAGTATTCTCAGTAGAAGAATTTGTGATCTCAGTGATCCTAGTACCTAATATTATCGGCTCCTCACTTACAGCTGGTAGAAAGCTTTAGAAGAGCTTACGCTATTTTATTGGTAGAGCAATTGTCTTCTATAGTGTCCTAGGTATTATTAACGCACTGCTGTGAACTGTCGGAAGATAGATTGTAGACGGTGTAATAGGTATTTGTATTGTCTCTTATATAGGTATCTATAGCTGCAATAGATACACTACCTACTGCTGTTTTAACTGTGTCTTAGAGATCTTATTATCTTATATTAATAAGACAGGTATAAATCCAACAATATCGTCGTTATCTAGGTCCTATAGATCTACAGGTACTTTATCGATCGATATCGGTCTCCTATTATTATTATCTCCGGGTTAAGGGAAGCCTATATCACGCGATACTACCAATTTCCTATTATTTAGATCCTATATCTTATAGACGTAACTACCGTCCCCCTTATAGCCGATAAGTATTCCTCTCTATACTCTAGGGGCTGCTTTCCTAGCCTACGTTCTCTTAGACTTTGGAATATAAACGTATACAGTTATCCCCTATAGCTTAAGGTACTTCAGAGAAGGTTATAGATTAGGAATCCCGAGTTCTTCGCGCCAGTAAGTCAGTGGCGATTTCTTAGTCTTCGGGTTGACTAGTCTGTTATAGATATAAATAGCCGTGTCTGTTGTATACGGCTATATCTCTTCCGACACTTTCGTATCGATAATTATCGTTCTTTAAATATTATTGATATATCCACCGAAACGCTTAACTGCTCTATTCGGCTCAGCAGTGTATAGAGGTGTTATTTCGAAAGTTATACTACGTTTCTTACCCTATTTAATAAACTCTTTGAACTCTGTTCCTCTATCTATTCGCCAGACACCTAGGTATCTACCAGTGAGTAACTTAATCTTCTCACAGAACGCGGTAAGCTTATAGTAAGTATCAGACTTATTCTTTAGTATACTCCCTTCGATAAATCGAGAAGCGTTATTAACAATTAGTAGCTAGTAATTCTCCCTATTTAGTCCTATAGGCTTTATTGGCTGTATATCAACGTAAAACTTCCACGCTATATCTTATACCCTTACCTAAGGTTGTCGTGAAATTTTGAGCTTTGATTTACCTTGAAAATAGGTATCACAGTCGAAGTTCTCTGTACTATACTACTTATTATCACCTAGTTATTCGGTGTACTATAGTGTAGAAGCGATTCGAGCTTTTCTAGTATATCCTAGACGTCTATAAACCTCGTAAGCTGTCACTTTGCTCACGAATCCGGTTTTATTATTATCAGAATTTGCGTTAGTCTTATCCTTATTAGGATCGTCTTTATCTTTATCCTTTGGACTAACTAGGTACGGAACACTAGTTAAAGTGTCTACGTATCCTAGGATATCACCCTTTCTATTTGTAAGATACTTAGTGCGTGTATTGTAAGAAATATCTTACTCTTTAAGAAGTTTCTATATACCAAACAGCTTACTGTGTCCTCCTAGAGTGTAGTAGCTAGTTATTATAAACGAGTACGTCTTTCTATCTAGTCCTAGTAAGGCTGTTCTCACGATAACTTCACTATAGCCTAGCGTAACGACTCTATTCCTAGAGTAGTCTTTGTATATATATACAGTATTAGGGTGATCCTAAATATATATATAAAAGTCTTCGGGATTATACGTTAATATCTTGTCCGAACCGGTATCTAGCAACCAATCGTTCTTCCTGTTAAGCGAATTGACAGCAGCGATAACTATATTGTTCTGTCCGTCTTAACGTTAAGCTCTTTAAATAGCCTTTGAATAGGCCTATAAATTCCTAGATAGCTCCTATAAAGCTGGAGGGTTATTACTGAGATAGGTGTATCTCTTAGCAGTGTATAGTCTAAATCCACAGAATAAGTATATATCGTTGTTATCTTTTTGTGTACTATTGCGTATTTCCTTTACGTATTTATAAATATCTTTACTATCCGTAGGCTGCTTACGAAGACCCTTCTTCTTCTTCTTCTTAGCAGTGGCTGCTTTATCTTCGATAGCGTTAACGTCCTTTTCTGTCTATATATTGTCGTTATTGTAACCGCTATTGTGACCACCTCTACCACCTCGGTTTCCTTTACGACTACCTCTTCTATTGCCTCGTCCTCAGCCGGAATTATTATTGTTATAGACAGTATTAGTAACACCTTCTATATCAGCTACCGCACGGAGTGCTCTCTAATACTCCTCTACTTTATTAAGATTAAGTTTCTTAGGTTCCAGATTTACGACTTCTTCTCTGATAAACTGAACCTTCTTAACTTCCAATTCGAGGTTTTAAAGGACTTACGATAAGCCGTGTGCCGGATATAGTGCCGCTTTAAATCTGGTAAGTATATAATATTGGCGTTGGTATTCCTCTATATACTCGCTTACCGAGTTATAGTCTGATCGTTTTATTTTATCAAACTTTCGTATCTCGAGAAATACCGTTTGTATCAGATCACTGCCCTGTGTTATTACTATAAGCTCATCGTATAGATTATCGGTATACTTAGGTATTTTTAACAGATTTTGTAGCTTATTTTATAGTGTTATATCAATTTGGTTATATATCCAGCTTATAACTAGGCGCGACTAGTACTTCCACCTTTCGAACGAAGTATATAACTTATAAGGTCGAGGAATATCGCTTTCTAGCAACTATTCCAAGGCGTATAGGATCAACTGGTAAGCCAATACCTATTTCTAACCACTTAGATCAGTGTTATTGTACTCCAGTATCCTAACTTTCTAAATTTTGGTTATCGCAATCGCAGGCAGACTATATCCTTAATAGGACGGCTTGTTCTTATCCTCACTATCGCTATTATCTTAGGCGAAATAAATCGGATTGTTCAAGGACGGGATTTCGTTGGGATCAATCGATATATCGGGAGGAGAAGGTTGCGGGTTGTTGTCCCCCACATTTCCTGTGTCGACGTCTGTTATAATTGGTTAATATAAAGCTAGACGGAGCTTTTACCGGCGGGGTCTCGAAGGATTTCCTGAATGTTATTGGCTGGATTCGGGTCCGTATGTTGTCCTACGTATTGGGGTGGATACACTGTGGAGTCGAATCGTCAAAATTCTTTAGATAAAAATAGCTTCAGAGAAAAGAGTTGCTAGTGGTCCAACTAGCAGAGAGGGCTCATAACCTGATACGATACAAGTAGATCTTTTAGAGAAAACTGTATGTATTGAAGCGGACAAAGAGGAGAGAAGAGAGGGAGAGAGAGAGGAGAAACTATCTGTGGGTTCTATCTTACATGTGATGCCTGAGGCATCCAACAATAGTGCCTATCGCCCGCTTATATAAGGCCCGTGGGCACTGCCCACCCGCCCGTCTATGGGCGATGTCGCAGTCTATATAGTAGTAAGATCCCTAAGGTCTAGTTTCACTACCAGCGAAGCTAGGCCTATAGGGATCGGTGTAAGAGACTAGTTTATAGTGTTAAGCCCCGTTAGACTACGTACCTTGCTACTAATTACTAATTTGCTGGTATAATTTATACCAATAGCGCTAGTAAATTTATTGTTAATATTACCGATAGTGGTTATAACTATCCTACTAGTCTAATAGTAACTTAGACTACCTATCGCTAGCGGGAATTAAGAGAGCGCTAGGCGGAGATCACTAGTTAGATAAGCCAGTATCTTACTGATCGGGTTATTCTTAACCACTGCTGTACGATAAATCAAAATTGCTATATCTCTGAGAGAGATATAGAGAATCTAAAGCAGCGGTATCAGCGAGAGAAACTAGGTAGAAATACCCCTTTGCAGGCGCTTCTCGACCAGCTTCCGTAAGATAGAGATTAGGTAATACGCTATACAATTAAACCCGGCTCGGATACCCTTATATTACTATTTCTGATATATAGAAGTAGTATAGCTTTACTATAGGCCTATCTATATATATTATAGATAGACTGTACGTATAAGATAAACTACTTCTGTATACTAGTTCTAGATATTGTTAGGGTAACTATAATAAAGAGGTCTTTTAACGCTAGGTTTTGTTTTATATATAAGGAGACCACTAAGGTGTATATTGATACGCTTTAGTTCCTATAGGATATTTACTAACAAATTATAGATTTAAAAGGTCTTCCCTAATACTAAGAATATACTTTGTCTCTAGTATATTGCTAACTGTATTAAGAAGTATATAAAACTAGCTATCTATAACCTTATCGGTCGGACTATCTATAAAGGTAAGCCCGGATACTAAGATAAGGTCAATAAAGTATAGGATACTTTAAAGAACGATTAGTATATACTTATTTATACCTATTCCGATAATACCGAGGAGCTCTAGGATAAATTTAAAGCGTAATATTCTATACCTAAATTCTAGGTTTTCTTACAGTATATCGAAAAGGAATAGCTATCTAAGAATATAGGCTGCGCTGAGTACTTCCTATACCGGTATATAAAGTATTACTTTTATCTTAATTAGATAATAACCTCCTATATTAAAGGTACCTATTATAGTATTAAGATTAATCTTTATACAGCAAAGTATAATCTATTGACTGTTACTTAGATCCTTAGTACAGCAATTTAGCGGTAAAATACTAATACAATATAGGATATTAAGCGACAGAGAACCCAGCGCCGATCTACCCCAATATCTATTTTTAAGGACGTTAAACGTATTGTTTCACAGTAAGCAATCAATAAATCAGTTAATATCTATAAATCGGCTATTCTCTAATAAGCTAATATATCGCTATATATAGGACTCTCTCTAGTAGGGAGAGGTCTACTATATAAATATACTATTTCTAAAGCTTAGGAAAGGGGGTAAAGCCTCTCCTAAGCTAACTTCTATCCCTAGTGGGATCTCTAGGTTCTAGGATCCAGCTATTGTATAGGCGCGTGGTTATCTAATAGCTGTATTATTATCTCAGAATAGTCTATTATTATCTCAGAATAGTCTATTATTATCTTAGAATAGTCTATTATCTTCTTCTTAATTATCTTCTGCTTAATTGTCTTCTTAACAATCTACTCGGCGAGATCTCTTAGAAATTAAGAAATACCGGCTGTAGGAGGTAGTGTCTATACAGCGATCGTAGCGGGAAAGGCGTATAAGGTAGCTCTACAAGGATAAAACAATATAGAGGAAGGTAGACTACTGATAATAAACTTAGTCAGTAGGTACTACGAAGAGTGATCTCTTACACTATACGACGGGGAAGGGGAAGGAGATAGGGAAGGGGACACTGAGATCTCTTCAAAATAACTTTATATTTAAAGGGAGTTGCTAATCTCACCCCCCCCCCCCCCCCCCCCCCCCCCCAGCCTATTCTCACCCCCCTTTGTCTATTCTCACCCCCCTAGACTTCGGCAGAACCCATTTTGGGTCGGAACCTCTGACCCAAAACCCAACCCAACCCAAAACCCAATAGGTTAAACCCAATAACCCAATAATAACCCATTTGAACCTATTTTTATATAAAATATAGGTCTTAGCGTTTATAACAATACTAAGTCATTTAAATAAATTACTGTTTTTTACAGCTGTTCTGGTTTATTCATCGAATATTGCTATATTATCACAATATTAAGTTAGAAAATTTATATAATTACCCTGAATTTGAAGCTAATAGGCTTTATATTATATTGATTACCGATAAAAATTTATATTAATTATAGTATAGTGGTGTTCTATTAATTTAAGTATTTATTGACTGTAGACTATTAAAATTATATATTTATAGTAGAGGGGAGTATATATATATATTATAGGATAACTATAAATATAAATAGAAATATCTTATTCTTATTTGATTTTATATACAATTAATATTATATTAAAGCTATATTTCTCTTCTCTTATATTTAACTTATTATATATACTCCGAATTGTATTTTCTGACCGCGGTCGGAAAATCACTTCTAGGAGGTAGGTATATATATTACTATTTCTGACCGCGGTCAGAAAAGCCCTTCTAGGAGGTAGGTAGGTATATATATTATTATCTCTGACTGCGGTCAGAAAAGCTCTTCTGGGGGGGTAGATATATATATTATTATCTCTAACCGCGGTTAGAAAAGCTCTTCTAGGAGGGTAAATAAAATATTTTTGAGGGATCTTCTAGGGGAGTAGGTTATAAATAGGTCCTCTTAGGTTTTAATAGGTTATAAATAGGTTCTCTTAGGTTCTCTTAGGTTAGACCTATTTAAATAGAGCTTATATAGCCAATCAAATAATATTATAGCTTATACCTTTTAATCTATCTACTTTACTATAGGACTAAGGTGTTTACTATTTATATACCCTTCTCTTATAAGTATATACTCTCTCTGCCTTTCCCCCTTACCTTTATAGTATTCCCCTTTTCGGTTATAATATCCTAAAGCTAGTATTCTGACTTTTTACCTACTCTTTATAATATAGATATAGATAACCTTAGCTATCTTATACTCTCTTCTTAAGTTCTAACCCTATCTAGTAGCTAGCTTATAATTAAGCCTTTTAATACTATTGATACTGACTTCCTTCGGCCCTCTAACCTTCTACTAATTCTACACTCTCTTACTCGCGTTAGCCCCGATCGGAGAAAGGTATATATACTTTATAACAATATAGTATATAAAGAATAGGTTAAGTAGTGGCTATAAACCGACTATAGGTAGAAAAGTAAGATTTCCTAGGATTTAAATTGTAATTTAAATATATAGAGTAACTTTAACTAAGTTACCTATACTAAAGATAGTGCGCTAAAGGTAATATATAAGCGCTGCTTAAAGATCCTAGAGTATCCTTATTCTCTATTACCTAGCGGAAAGGGCTGTTATAGTATATTAATAATATTAAAGTATTTAAAGACAGTAGGCTATTGTAAAGCTTAATAGGGAGGGAAAGGAGAAATTACCTAGTTCCTTTAAAAAGTAGTATCTCCTTACCTCTTTATTTAGCTATCTAATTTCCCTAACACTCCTAGATATATAGGATCACGGTTTACTAGAGGCTCCTTTTTTATAATCGGTATAGGAAGAGTATCTTCTCCAATTTCTTACCCTCAATCGACTTCTATTCTACCTTATCGAATATCCAATATTTTATAAGCTATTCCGATTAGCCCGCTCTACACTATCTCTCCCTCCGATACCCTCTGCTACCACAATATATCGTTGTTTACGTAATATAATTATAGAACGATAGAAATCTATCCTCTAAACACTACCTAACGATATAAAAATCTCGATTATATTAGATTGCTAGACTTCTCTATATAACTAGGTATTTATAGCTATCACTAGCTATTTTATTAACAGTAACTAGGTATACTAAGAGGTTCTACTTAGATTTAAACTACTTTATAGCTCCTATACCGGTTTAAATCTAAGTAGTATACTCCTCAAAACTCTAGTTAAGTATAAGATCTAGGATCGGGTATTTAGAGTTATAACTAATAATATAATTAATAATAAGACAATAGTCAAGGCTATTTAGTAGGCGCTCTCTAGCGATATAACAGTAATCCGAATACCCTATTTTACCTATATTATCTAGCTTTGTTTAAACTAGCTCCTTAATCGTTTAAAGGCTATCCCTCTAAATAAGAATACAGAAACAAAGTAGACTAACTAGAAGTTATCTACAGTAAAGGTAAATACTTAGTACTAGATATAGAGGATCTTATATACCTTAAATAAGGTCCGTTATCTTAGTAAGCTATATATATCTATATAAGTCCGTAACGCTAGGCGGCCTTTCTCCGACTTTAAGAAAAGGGATCCTAGCTTATTCCAATCTAGAATATAAAGACTCGGTAGAATTCTACCTTCTTAATACTTCGTTATACAAAGAGACTACGTAGTTTCTTCTAGCCCTTCTATAAGGAGTATAACTGTAAGGAGATATTACTTAATACTTAAGAATAGCGTTAAATTAACTATCTTCTATAAATCACTCGGCTATTCTTTAACTATATAACAGAGCTCTCGAAGACAAAGGAGGTCACTATATATCTTGTCTTTAAGATTTACAATACCCTCTTTGATTACTTTTTTGAAGTAGAAGCGCTGCTTAAACGTAAGCGTATTCTATAGAAATCAGATATACTTAAAGTACTTATAGCTAGTCGCTTAAAACTTAATAAGTACTACTCTTAAACCGATAATCTTAAAGGATATATCTATATAGTTAGGACAATACTAGTACCTAATAGCAGATTTTAGTTCTTTCTATCTAATAGTTAGGAGCCTCACTAGCGTAATACCTACCGGAAATTATTCTAGGAATTATTAATTCTATATTAAGAGCGCCTTATAATAAATCAAGGATCGACTAATACTCTAATAATAGTATTATCTAGTTCTAGGCTAAATATAATACTAAAGAGTAATAAGATATCCGTAAAACCAGCTAGTGATAAGATAACTTAATATCTCGATAGTAGTATATTTATAATCTATTTCTTCCCTATATAGGATAATACTAATATATTTATACTACTAGATCTAATTAATATTAAATCTCTTTAATTCTAGCGGGAGAACCAATCTTATTTCCCTACGATTATATTACTTACTCGCGATATTCTCTCTATCCCAGTAACTAGTGCTAGTGTCGAACAGCTCTTTAATACTACTCGGGATATTTATTACTACCGCTGTAGTTATCTAAAGTCCGAAACAATCGAGGAGCTTATATTGTTTCTATATATAATAAGATTTAATATTAAGGATTCTGAGGTAAAGGAGCTTAAGTAGTTCTTTACACTAGCTAAGATTGAGTCAGCGAAGGAGCAGAACAATAAATATACAGAGGATACTGAGCTTAGCCTAATTAGTAATAATAAAGAGGAAGAAGGAGTAGATAATAGACTGCGAGAGATATCTCCTTATTTAATTGCGGAGGAAGCAATTAAATCATAAGGGGTCGGGTGTCACGTGACTAGGGATCCCTAATAGGTCTCAAATCCATAGAGTTCTAATGCGGTGAAAATGTCATCGGTGAGAAACGGCAGAATAAAATAGCCAGCAGAATAAATATACACTATACCTAATCTATACTACTACGTGACCCCCCTCGGGACTTACTACAGACGTTTTAACAGTATATATCACGTGATATATACCGTTCTACTCCGAATTTAGTAGGGGTTACGTAACTACTATTTTCGTAGAGGGGGCCTTAGGTACTTAACTATTACGTACTATATACCGTTCTATATAACTAGCTAGAATCCTAGCTAGGAATAGATCTATAGACCTTAGTTTTAATTAGTAAATAATCTAGCTTAGAATCCAGCTTAGGTCTAGCTAGGAACCTCACTTTTTAGTTAGCTAGAAATTTAACTAGGAACCCCGCTTTCAATTAGCTAGGAATTCAGCTAGGAGCCTCGCTTTTTAGTTAGCTAGAAATTTAACTAGGAACCCCGCTTTTAAATTAGCTATAATCCTCGCTTTTTAGTTAGCTTAAAATTTAGCTAGAAGCCTCGGTTTTAAATTAGCTAGAAATTTAGCTAAGAGCCTCGCTGTTTATTTAGCTAGGAATTAAACTAAGAGGCTTACTTTTTAATCAGCTAGCAACGCTTTTTAGTTAGCTAGAAATTTAATAAGAAACCTTGCTTCTGATTTAGCTAGGAATTTAGGTATAAGCCTTATTTTTTAATTAGCTAAGAGCCCCGCTTTTAAGTTAGCTAGAAATTTCGTTAAGAACCTCGCTTAGCGGCGGAGTAGTAGGGATATATTTCTTACCTTAAGGGAAGTGTATAGGAGGCGCTGAAGTAGGTATACAGAAAGAAGTAGTAGAGGGGAAGTATAGAAGATATATAAAGGAGAGGAAAATAAATAATATATAGAGGAGAAGGCTATTTATTACGTGGCCTAACGTATTCCTCTCTCCCCCTATAAGAGCCTTCCCAGAGAGGATCGCTTACTATTACTTATTACTACGTGACCTTTGAAATTAGAACTAGTTGCTTCGCTCCGCGATGACTATCCGGAGGCCTAAGGCCACCGAGATCCCTTGTATACTAGTATCAATAGATTTTAGTTGTACTCAATCAGACCACTCTATTTTTGTTAAGAGATAATACAGTGGTTCACCTCTCTACGTTATAGCTTACGTAGATAATTTACTAGTTCTCTCTCTATCAGAAGAGGCTATTTAATAGTTCAAAGAGACTATTTCAAAGCACTTCGATACTTCTAATAAAGGTAAACTTTAACGATATCTATCGATCAATATTCAATATACTAATAGTATAATACACTTATTATAAGCTGATTATACCGATAAGATCCTTACTCGATTCGGTCTTAAGAACTGCAAATCTATTACTACGCCTATAGATAAGAAATAGGCACTAATTCCTTTTAAAGGTATAGCGATAAAGGGACA